TCTGTCACCTTAGCCCCCCAAAACTATCTTAACGATCAGGCCAGTGCTGCTTCCTCGAGAAAGTTTTTCATTCTCACATGTTTTAAGTCTTGTCAGTTTAAACATTTAAGTAATTTTAAGCCATTTAAGCCCAAGACATCTCAATGCGGTACTCACACATTGTGATAGAGCGTTTCTATGCGCACCGCTCACACCTGAAGTGCACAAACAGATAGCCTTCTCAGACAGCAGGTGAATACCAATGGCTGTCTTGACAAGTATCCTTGTAAGCACAGTCGGTTGTTTTAAGTGAATGTAAACAGTAAAGAAAATATCAAATGTACATCAGTATAACGGATCCGTGCATTTCTTATGTAAATAATGTTAATCAAGAAGAGCAAAAGAGCAGAATGGACACAAAGACTGAAACAGATATATATATTTGAGAAAATGACTTGCACTTAAAATCTGACTTTTTTCGACAGAAGTGGGCACTTATTGAAACATATTTGCTTGAAGGAAATAGCTCTAATATATATTAATGTTTGAACCATGCAGAAAATTTGCCAGTATGTGGTGCATTTATTGAAGTGCTGTCAGGGACTTTTGTATTTATTTTTAAATGAGTTTTTTTTTTCTTTCTTTCTTAGTGTTTATTTATTTATTCATTTACTTTTCATGTATCAATATTGAAAGTAAAAGTTATGTAACAGTGTTTTGTTAAAAAAGGTTCAATAAACACACAGTTCAAAAAAAAAAAAAAGAGCAAAAGAAAAATTGTTCGCTGCTTTAATGGATATTTGCTTTTGTTAATATTACAGTTTTTCTCAATTGCTTTGGCTCAATTCTCGAATTAAACTTTTTTTCCCGAAACAATAAGTTCAGATCTCTGAACAATTAGCTTCTTGTTCACATCAGATTGGAATTTCTTATTGATTTGAGCAAATTGCAAATGCTTTGGCACATGTGTGCAAACAGTAAGTACAATTGTCTGCAGTTTGCACAACAACTAATTGCATATGGCTTGTTGATCAAAACTGATGAGCCGATTCTCACTTAAACTGTCAAACTGTTCACAACTTCTCAAACATTTTTCATTGTGTAAGCCATCACATTCAAAACGATCCATTCAATTATGAAAAATTGGTATACACGCATGTATATTCCATAAATATCTGACATTGACATTGATTGTAATGTCTGCTAAATTGGCAAATTACCTCTAATTGCAATACAATTTGAATCAACCATTCAACCAATCAAGTTTGGGAGCATATATATGTAGATTGCCCACAGCACAATCACTAAGAATGGAGGACTTCCACAACCCTGAACTGCAGCAACATGCTCGTGGAAGAGCAATTGGAAGACGTGTAAGAATACGTGGTGGTGGTGTTAGAGGAAGACATAATAGAGGAAGAGGTGGAAATAGAAGAGTCAGAGTCTCTGCTGAAATCAGAGCCAAACTTGTGGATCATGTCATAAATCATGGTTTTACAATGGAAGAGGCTGGTCGAAGAGTACAGCCTAATGTAAACCGGTCCACAGTGTCATCAATTGTGCAAACCTTTCGTAGGGAAAACAAGTAAATATGTATTTTGTTTTGTTTTGTTTTACAGTATGTAAAGCATTTTTATAAACAACAATATTGTAAAGGTAAATGCAAGTCTATTTGTACATTCTATAGAACCGCACAACAACCTTGCGCTGGTGGCAGAGCAGCAGTATTTAACCATCAGCAAGAACAAGAAATTTGCAACATGGTCATAGCCAACAATTCCATCAGGATAAGAGAGCTAATATGTAAATTATCATATATGACAATAATGTCTTCGCAAATATAAATTCTGTCAGCATTTCCACCATAGACAGAGTTTTGAAAAGACATCAAGTGACTATGAAACAACTATACAAGGTGCCATTTGAGAGGAATAGTGAAAGTGTATGATCATAGACCACAAGATCAGATGTCTCTGTTGGATGCCATGAATGCTGCATGTGAGGACATCACTGCTGATCATTGCAGGGGATGGGTGTGGCAATCAAGGATATTTTTTCCCCGGTGCATGGCAATGGAAAACATCAGATGTGATGTTGATGAAAATCTTTGGCCTGACCAACAAGAGCGACAGGATGTCCACCAAGAATAATTTTTGAAGTATTCAAAAGAAGTATTTGTGGTAACATAAGAAATATGAAATGTACAGTAATTGGACAAGCAAGATTTCACTTATATGTAATGCATTTGTACAAAAGTAAATGTACTGTATAAATACAAATGTTCATATACTTTTTTTTCTATGTACTATTGACTCTTCTCAACAAATATCAGATTTTTTTATAAAACCTTAATTTCCATGGTTGACTGTCATGGTGAAAAAACAATTAAACATTTTGACCAGTGTGGCTCACACGATGACAAAAATACTTTATATTTTGGTAGCCTTTGCCAAATTACTGACACGATAACTAGGTTTTGAAGCATGAATGAAATGTTTTGCAGCCATGCAATAAAGTTCTGAAGTTCCAGCAAACAGTTGTGACATTTGCACTCACAGTTTAGAGAATGTTAAGATTGTTTAGAAAAATGTGCCAAAGCAATTGAGAAAAACTGTAATGAAGTAATTTGGTGTGACTACAGTAATACCGGTTGGGAAGGTTGTTGGATGTTGGGGGGGGGGCGCAAGTGAAATTAGACCAATTTGGGGGGGCGCATGTCCTAAAAGGTTGAAAAACCCTGACCTGATTTACTTGTCAGCCATGATACAGCCATGTGTAATTGGCTTATGGTAAGTGAGAGCATGTCATGAAAGATCAAGCTTTTGTTTTAAGGCTATTTTGAAAACCACTAGCAACAAGAGGCTTGTGGTCTTCTTAGAAGTTTGATGGGTTTTTGAGTAGAAGTTTAAGATTAAGAGCTATAATGTGTTCTGGACTACTCACAAAGGACGCTCAGAGTGCGTGTGAGGGACATTGGTGAACGAGACACTTGGTTGACGCTCTCGCACCGCAGCACAGCATGATTGTCCTCTTGCTTCACCGTCATTTTCAACACACTACTGGACTGACGTGACACAACGTCCTCTTCCCAGCTAGTGGACAGGACTTCTCCGTTCTGAAAAAGAGAAAAGTGATGACACAGATAGATAGATGGATAGGAGAATGAATGGATGGAAAAACAGACAGATGGATAGACAGGCAGCACATTTAAGGGGGTCTGAATACTTTCCGTACCCACTGTATATAGACAATAGACATATAGACATGAATAGACATATATGGACAGACAGATCAGACAGATGAACAGATATATGGATAGATGGACTGAAGGACGGGCGGGCTGGCAGACAGTCAGGCAGATAGACAGACAGACAGACAGATAGACATAGAGATAGACAGACAGACAGACAGATAAGATAAATAGATAGATAGATATATAGAAGCAAACTTTAATTCTAGAAAAAGACATTTGTGTCTGAGATCAGTCATCCAGTCAACAGTGTTGCAGACACTAACATTTGCATTAGCTGAAAATTATTAGAGATGTCAGGACTGACACATTTTATCAAAGTAAACTGAGAGTCTCCACTGTGAGTCTGTCTGCGGGACACTACATGAATTGAAAAGTAGATTCGGCGGTCTAGACTTCACTTGCAAATGATTTAAAGCTTGACATCTTCTCTCTGTCTCTAAACACAGACATTTAATAAAGTTCTTGGTTGCAGCTCTCAGCTTTCCCCTAGGCTTGCTGAGTTTAGTAATTCACTCACGCACAGACTCTCGCGCGCGCACACACACACAGACACAAACAAACAAACAAACAAACAAACTAACTACTAAATAAATGGGTTAATTAAAAAAAATACATTTATCATAGTTTCTTAATGTCCTATTTAAGAGAAAAATTGACACTAGGGCAGTTCACTTAACATTACCCGAGAGCCACTCTCAGAGTTATGATATAAAGAGAAATGTTATAAAAACGCTCTGTTTTTCTTCATTCTGTGCTCACAGCATAGTCTCTTTGTGAACATATGCACGCTGTTATCTTGAGTTAGTCCTCCGACACAGTTGCAGCAGAATTTTCAGCGGCGCTGAAGCTTTGTATCACATTTATTAAGCTGTTTGAGATGCCAATGCTTCATAATTCCTGAGGTTGAGACAATTTCGAGAATATAACAACCACTGGTGCACCTGCCAGATTCTACCTAGCTTCAAATTACTTTAGCAACCTATGTTCCACTGTGACCTTTTGGCATAACATTCATGGTAATTGGCCTGCAAAGCATTTTGGTAAACAGCTCTCACGTGGTTGAATGAAGGCATCCCATTATTTTTCATCTAACAGCTACCTGCTTAACGTAACATTTGGACCAATTTATATATGTGGCACTTTCCATGACGGCAGTACACTTTGGTGTCTCGTGAATTTTTAGAGGCACAAATCCCATGTTCTTTGGTTTGTTCTATTCCATCATAAAATTAACCTAATATCCTCTACCCAAAAAAGTAATGATTTTGGATTCTCCCACCTCAGAGGTCTTGACCTTCACAATTGTACTGTATCAACAATTACAGCAACATACAATAATAAATAATTATTAATAATTCATTGACATAATCTGTTTAATATTCAATGTATTGTAGTACAAAAAAACTTTTACATTTTTAACTTAATTTTTTTGTTGTTTAAATGATTAACTATATATATATATATATATATATATATATATATGTGTGTGTTAAATGTATATGTAAATATGTTGTATAAGTAAAATACAATACACAATAATTTATATTTCTAACAATTATAACAATACATGCTTACATATATGTCCAACATTTTGCATTAAACCCTGTAAACATATGGTTTTCCCTAATTATAAAAAAAGATGTAATATTTCTTAAAATTGTGACATAGGAAACAACATTTAGACTCATTTTAAGAATTCTATTTTTTTTTAAACAAATGTATTTGTGTTCAATGCATTCGTAACGGTAACAAAAACCGTAACATTTTACAATAAGGTTCCATTTGTTACCATTAGTTATCTACATTAATTAACATTAACTCAATGAAAAATACTTCTAAAGAAAGTATTAATCTTAGTTCATTTTATTTTCAACATTTACCAGTACATTATTAAAATCAAAAGTTGTATCTTCAATATAATGGACCTGAGTTAACATTAACTAACAAAGAACAGTTGTATTTGATGCTGCAAAAAATTTATAAATACTGTAAAAAATGTATTGCTAATTGTTAATGCTAGTTATTGCATTAACTAATGGGATATTTTTGTAAAGTGTTACTGTTAAAATATCTTTCTTTAATCTGTGGGAAATACAATTTTAATCGATAACTATAAAACAAACTCAAGGTCTTATTTCGTATCCTATTCAAGCAAAGGAAGAGGCCAAGTAATTATTCCGGAAAAAGAAAAGGGGCAACCAAGGATGAACTTCTCATATTTCTCTCACCTTAGTCCAATGCAGAGTGGCCAGTGGGTTGCCCCCGTACGACATGCACACCACCCTGAGAAAGGAACCAGCTTTGACCTCTTCATTTTCTAATCCCATGATCACCGGAGCCTGCGGGGGAACTGAAGGAAGTGAATGAAGGGTTACGACATCAATAGAAGTTTGAATCATCCGTACGTATTCGCAAGCATCGCAGCACGGCTCACGAGATTCTCAAGAAGAAATGAAAAGAGGAATGGTTCGTGTGCGAGAAGGAGGGAAAATATTATTAAAACAAAATATCTCGCCTTTGTTCTGTGAAGATGGGCTTCTTTTCATGTTAGTGCCAGTGAAGAGAGATGAAATGGAGGAAGAAGAAGAAAGAGAAGGGTAGAAAAATGACCACAAGTTTCAGGAAGAGCATGACTCCATTTTAGTCCCGTACAACATTGTTAAATCGAGGATATTTAATGCCAGTGCAGCGGGAAGACATCGCTTGTCCCTTTGATGAAACCATTAAGTATAAAGAGTGACCCACACACTGGCACCAGTCCATAAACCAAAATAACAGATGTTTAAACTGTAATAAGGCAATGTGGAACATAAATAAATTACAGTGGGGCTCCTGAATAATACATTTGCCATAAAATAAATTATGGGGTTGGGTCATATTTTTATCTTTTTTTTTTTTTTTTTTATATGTTTATATATATATATATATATATATATATATATATATATATGTGTGTGTTAAATGTATATGTAAATATGTTGTATAAGTAAAATACAATACACAATAATTTATATTTCTAACAATTATAACAATACATGCTTACATATATGTCCAACATTTTGCATTAAACCCTGTAAACATATGGTTTTCCCTAATTATAAAAAAAGATGTAATATTTCTTAAAATTGTGACATAGGAAACAACATTTAGACTCATTTTAAGAATTCTATTTTTTTTTAAACAAATGTATTTGTGTTCAATGCATTCGTAACGGTAACAAAAACCGTAACATTTTACAATAAGGTTCCATTTGTTACCATTAGTTATCTACATTAATTAACATTAACTCAATGAAAAATACTTCTAAAGAAAGTATTAATCTTAGTTCATTTTATTTTCAACATTTACCAGTACATTATTAAAATCAAAAGTTGTATCTTCAATATAATGGACCTGAGTTAACATTAACTAACAAAGAACAGTTGTATTTGATGCTGCAAAAAATTTATAAATACTGTAAAAAATGTATTGCTAATTGTTAATGCTAGTTATTGCATTAACTAATGGGATATTTTTGTAAAGTGTTACTGTTAAAATATCTTTCTTTAATCTGTGGGAAATACAATTTTAATCGATAACTATAAAACAAACTCAAGGTCTTATTTCGTATCCTATTCAAGCAAAGGAAGAGGCCAAGTAATTATTCCGGAAAAAGAAAAGGGGCAACCAAGGATGAACTTCTCATATTTCTCTCACCTTAGTCCAATGCAGAGTGGCCAGTGGGTTGCCCCCGTACGACATGCACACCACCCTGAGAAAGGAACCAGCTTTGACCTCTTCATTTTCTAATCCCATGATCACCGGAGCCTGCGGGGGAACTGAAGGAAGTGAATGAAGGGTTACGACATCAATAGAAGTTTGAATCATCCGTACGTATTCGCAAGCATCGCAGCACGGCTCACGAGATTCTCAAGAAGAAATGAAAAGAGGAATGGTTCGTGTGCGAGAAGGAGGGAAAATATTATTAAAACAAAATATCTCGCCTTTGTTCTGTGAAGATGGGCTTCTTTTCATGTTAGTGCCAGTGAAGAGAGATGAAATGGAGGAAGAAGAAGAAAGAGAAGGGTAGAAAAATGACCACAAGTTTCAGGAAGAGCATGACTCCATTTTAGTCCCGTACAACATTGTTAAATCGAGGATATTTAATGCCAGTGCAGCGGGAAGACATCGCTTGTCCCTTTGATGAAACCATTAAGTATAAAGAGTGACCCACACACTGGCACCAGTCCATAAACCAAAATAACAGATGTTTAAACTGTAATAAGGCAATGTGGAACATAAATAAATTACAGTGGGGCTCCTGAATAATACATTTGCCATAAAATAAATTATGGGGTTGGGTCACTCTTTGTTATTGCCCCAATCAAGCGGGCGCGATGGAGGACTGAGAGTCTGCCATGACAAAGTGCCATCTTGCTCACAATCTGCTGCAGATGAAAATGGGCAGTGGAAAGGGGGGGGGGGGGGGGGGGGGGGGGGGGCAGTGTTTTAAAGCATAAATTTAGTGAGCAGAACAAATGTGATTGGCGTTTCGGTAGAAGCGTATGTCTGTGAAATGCATCATATCACATGGAATTTAAAATGTGCATTAGACTGCATCAAAGCTCACCTACTAACATAACAGATAAGCTTACAAAGTGACTTAAAACGGAAAAATTATGTGGTGAAACATGATGCACTAAAACTGATTTGAAAAGTGTTTCTTTTTGAAGTCAACATGAAACAAAAATCAACCTACTTGGTAGAACATGGCAACCTGCGATTGATTCCTCAAAGGGATAGTTCACCAAAAAAGTTTGCACAAAAGATATTGTGAAAAATGTCTCAGTGTTTCTTGTCCGTAACATAAAAGTCAGTGGAGTTCAATGTGGTTTTGAATCCCAATAATTGTATGGACAACAATTTTTTTTTTAAGTATATTTTATGTTTTACAGAAGAAAGCAAGGTTTGAAATGATACAGAGCCCCTAATGTGACAAGGTGATGGAAAAAACATAAGCTGTGAGGAGTAGGCTATTTTAATGCTTTTGTGTTCCCTCACAACACTTTTGCATTCTCTCGCAAAAGTATTGAGTTTCCCTGAGAAAATTAGCTTTCTCTCTCAAAACATTTGTGTTCTCTCGCAAAAGTATTGAGTTTCCCTGCAAAAATTAGCTTTCTCTCTCAAAACATTTGCGTTCTCTCGCAAAAGTATTGCGTTCTCCTGAGAATCTTTGTGTTCACTCATAAAACATTTGCATTCTCTCGCAAAAGTATTGCGTTCTGAGAATCTTTGCGTTAATTCATAAAACATTTGCATTCACTCGCAAAAGTATTGCGTTCTCCTGAGAATCTTTGCGTTCATTCATAAAACATTTGCTTTCTGTAGCAAAAGTATTGCATTTTCCTGAGAATCTTTGTGTTCACTCATAAAACATTTGTGGTCTCTCGCAAAAGTACTAAGTTCTTCCAAGAAAGTTTGCATTCTCTAGCAAAACTGATTTTTACTCGCTAAAATATTGCATTCTCACAAGAAGTTTCGGGTTGGCTCGCAAAACATTTGTGTTCTCTTGCAAAAATTTTACATTTCCCTGACAAACTTTGCATTCTCTCGCAAAACTCTGTGTTCACTTCACTCACAAAAATATTGCATCTGACCTAGAAACTTTGGGCCCTATCATACACCCGGCGCAATGCGGCGCCAGGTGCGGCGCAAGTGTTTTTTCCTAGTCTCAGCCTGACGCAGTTATCATTTTCATGTCCTGCGCCACATTGTTTAAATAGCAAATGCATTTGCGCCCATTTGTGTGCCTATGGATGTGCTGGTCTGAAAATGAGGTGTGTTCAGGTGCATTGTTGGTGCGTTGCTATTTTGAGGCAACTGAAATAGACTGACCAACTGAAACCCGGTCTAAAGTCAATGGCGCAATATTTTTTATTTTTTGTTAATTAAAGAGCGCATTAGTAATATGTGCCTATAGGCGAGTGAACAATGCACATACACTCTGCTTATTACACACACAGGGACGCGCAGCAGCGCACAAACATGCCAAATATTAAAAATGAAAGGATTACAATGTAAAAGATTATTAATGAGCCCCGTAGATGGTCTGCTCGCGTGCTTTAACCTTGTGCACGAGCAGATCCGTTTCCTCTTTGGAGAAGCATTCAGTCTTTGCTCTTGCAAATTCCGCCATGTAAATAGCGAATACACCATGGCGCGAGCGCAACTGGCCTTAAAGGGAATTGAGACTCTGATTGGTTTATTGCACGCTACGCCCAAAACACAACCATGACTCATTAAGAGAATAAATACAACCCTTTTGGACCATGTGCCGGGCTATGAGCGTTTTTCCCGTCGTTAAACTAGCAAAAGTGGATTCGGACACACCCGTGTGCTGTAGACCATGCGCTTATCGTTAAAATGTGGCCCTTTTGTGTTTGCTCGTAAACCATTTGTGTTCCTCCGAGAAACTCTGCAATTTTTTTTTAACCATCACTGTATCCCTTTAGGAGCTCCATATAATAATGAGTAGCCTAAATGATGACACATTTTTCATTTTGGGGTGAACTATGATTTTAAGGAGTTATTTCCATCTAAACCAAACCTTAAACAATTTTGTTGTTGTAACCTAATGTATTTAGATTTTAAATAACATTTTGACTTTAACAGTTATTTAAAAACCACATTTCACAATAGCCAATTAATAAAATCAACATTTTTTTCTCGAATATCCTGTTTCTCATGAAAATAAGTCACATTGTGGAAGTAAAATGGTAGACAGTGCTTCATGTTTACTTTAATGGTTCAGGGTATACTCTTTGTACTTGTGTTATCATCTCAGAGTGAAGGGCAAATTTCTTTTCATAGTGAAAGGAACAAGAGTATTACTTGACAGGAAAAAGGCCCAATTGACTACGAGTCACACAGCTGTGGCCATGAACTCAGAACTGTGCGAGAAAATCGATGAATTCAAAGTCATGGTGGTTTTCATTATTTACAGTGTGTGCTCCATTTAATTAAACTCTGCTCGACCTGAGATTTCACATACCAAATCCTCTGGCTCTTCCCATCACACACAAAAATAAAAAATACATATTACCATTAATGATTAGGAGTAATTAGTCGTAAACACATTCAGTGTGAATTTACACGATGGCAGGGTTCTTACAGTATACCCTCATGGTCATGCTAGTCTCGAGAGCTCGAGGAGCAGCTGGGTTCTTCACTCGACATGTCAGCTGCCGTGCGTTGTCTGAACTTCGTGCCCTTATGCTGTAAAGAGAGAGTGGGGTTGAATTGCGTTAATGCGTTTCACACTGTGGCATTCTCTCATCCCCGATGTTGCCACAATTACCCACAGACCCACTGAGCTCATAACTTTACTCCATTTGCCAGCCTGGAGCGCTGCCAGCGTTCACTTAATTGTACAGTACCTGGCCTTCAAGATTTGTTTTGTCAGCAATACCTTATTCAATAGTGCAGCAAAAGTGGAATGCAGAAGATATTCTAAAAAAAAAAAAAAAAACTCCACATGGATTTGCCCATATAGACTAAACATTTATGAGGCTGCAAAATCTGGGTCAGTCTAGGTAATTATGCTGCATGTAAAGTTAAAAAGATATTTTAATAAAGAAAACATGTAGGTAGTAACACTACTGAAATGGGATCCTGGTACGGAAGACTCTACAAGTCCAGTGTCATTTCGCACATCATTTCATCTGGTATGATTTTCTTTCTTTTGTATGACACAAAAGGAGACATTAAGCAGAATGTCCAGGCTGCTCATTTGCATACAATAAAAGTGAAAGTGAGGCTTTCAAGTTCCAAATAAATAAATAAAAATCACCATGAAGTGACACTTTGGGGCTATATTTCAAGTCTTCTGAAGCCACATGACAGCTCTGCTTGAGGAAAGTATGGAAATGTAGGTCAGAATTCACTTAATCTTTCCCCTCTGCTGTAGCTCTCAAATCTTACAATTACACTTGTGTACAAAGTAAAATGTGCCAGCTCAAGAAGACTCAAGCATCATTTATTATAAAGTGTCATGACTGACTGCTATATGGCATATTTGATTCTTTATTCTGATTTATTTATTTATTTGGGTCCAGTAAGTTCAGTTAATGTTTCAAAATAATTATATTTCAAATAAATGCTGTTGTTTTTACTTTCTATTCAAAGAAAGTTACATATATTTATAAGGTATCTCATAGAAATTCTCCTGGTGAGACCTTTTAAACAATTAAAAATAAAATAATAACATTTAAGTAGAAATTTCTGAATAAAACCTTTCCGTAGTGACATTAAAAGCAGGGCAGTCCAGCTAAATATCGTTAAAAGTCTATAAAATGTTGCAGAAAAGGTATACTGGCAGTTTCCCACCTCTAAATATAAATACTATTTAAATTGAATGCAATCATAAATAAGATTTGGGAGCTACACTGGAAATATAGCCTGGACCTTCTGATAAACATCTGCTGTGTTTCACAGAATAAATAAAAACATGCAGGTGATGACATGAAGGTGGATAAATATGAGAATTTAAATTTTTGGGATAACTGTTCCTTGAAATATTGCTTGAATACCCAAAGGCCTATTGCCCTATCACTACACCACCGTCCCTCAATAAAAAATGGACATGTTGGTGAAATATAAATGACATATTGAAAGTTATATATTTTTTTTAATTTTCAAGAGGTCAATCTCTTCCAACCTTTGCGTCTTTGCCTTTATATACAGTATATCAAAAAATGACCTTAGCTATTCTCTAATTTTAAAATGACAAATTGCGAAGGACATACAATAAAAGGTAAAGTGGTGACAAGAATTCAACTGCAAAGAGCCTTCTACACCTTCATTGTTCGCACACAGACTTACATGACTTCAGCATGAGTGTTCAGAAGTTTATCCTGTGAGCCTGACATTGTGAAAGAATCAGGTTCCGTCAGCTCCTCTCCATCTGAGAAAAAAGAAAGAAAAAAACCCCCAGAAGTTATAGAGTCAGTAGGCTGCCTCGAGGTACTTCTTGCCAAGGGATGGCGTGACACAAACTTAGTAAATTAATCATGAAGTCTCTTGGTTTGAGTTTACAGCTACTGCTTTGAAAGCTCCCAGCGAGAGTTTTCATCTTTTATCGGTGTTGTGTATCTACAGTGTAATTCTCTCATAAGAGCTTCACTTAATGGACATAATAAAGAGTCGGGCTCTTAAGTGACGGCGTACCTCTGAACATGGTGATTTCTGCACGAGGTTTTGCATCAGGAGCGATGCAGGTCACCGTGTGTTCGTCTCCCTCCACCCACGGCTCATCAGACTCCAGCTGGATGTACGGCTGTGAGGGCGGGACTTAAACAAGAGAGAGAGTGTGGAGAAGGTGAGGAGAGATTAACTGGCAGGGGATTGTCACAATATATTATGTTATTGCAAGCTGTGAACTCATTTGGTGTCTGGTTGAAGAGATATTTCAGAGCTATAAAACACACACATGAGCAGACATGAACACACACATATAAACGCATTCACACTGACAGCGCTTTGCAGCAACAAAGCAACCAGAAGTCATTCATTTTCCATGAGGGCTGGCGATCTGAGGCAGCATTAGCGAGAGAGACAAAGTTAAGCAAAGTTGAACTTAATGAAAATGCACAATGACACAACCCAGCGAATGCCAGTGGGAGCACAGATAAGTTCTGAGAGGTTTTTAGCATGTTGCTATGTGGCTGCTAAGGCATTTTGGCCAAGTCAAAAGCCCACTTTCCAGTCTTTATTCCCTGATACTCTCTAGATATGGCTCTGGTCCATCCTTCAGTGTAAATCTAACAGATTTAGACCTGTTTTATCATCTGCCGGGAAAAAAAAAGATGTAAGTCTTCGAAGTTTTCAAAAAGTAATAGCTCCCCACTTTTCAGTGTTCCATTTTTTGAGTTATCATTCATATTTCATATCTCTCTCTCTCTCTCTCTCTCTCTCTCTCTCTCTCTCTCTCTCTCTCTCTCTCTCTCTCTACATATGTGTGTGGTGTGTGTAAATTTCCATACAAAATATAATGCTATTTCATTAATGTTAAACGCATTCACACTGACAGCGCTTTGCAGCAACAAAGCAACCAGAAGTCATTAATTTTCCATGAGGGCTGGCGATCTGAGGCAGCATTAGCGAGAGAGACAAAGTTAAGCAAAGTTGAACTTAATGAAAATGCACAATGACACAACCCAGCGAATGCCAGTGGGAGCGCAGATAAGTTCTGAGAGGTTTTTAGCATGTTGCTATGTGGCTGCTAAGGCATTTTGGCCAAGTCAAAAGTCCACTTTCCAGTCTTTATTCCCTGATACTCTCTAGATATGGCTCTGGTCCATCCTTCAGTGTAAATCTAACAGATTTAGACCTGTTTTATCATCTGCCGGGAAAAAAAAAGATGTAAGTCTTCGAAGTTTTCAAAAAGTAATAGCTTCCCACTTTTCAGTGTTCCATTTTTTGAGTTATCATTCATATCTCTCTCTCTCTCTCTCTCTCTCTCTCTCTCTCTCTCTCTCTCTCGATATATACATATGTGTGTGGTGTGTGTAAATTTCCATACAAAATAGTAAGCGCTGAGCAGCAAATCAGCATATTAGAATGATTTCTGAAGGCTCGTGTGACACTGAAGACTGGAGTAATGTTGAAAATTAGGCTTTGCATCACAGGAATAAATTACATCTGTTATTTTAAACTGTTATAATATTGTACAATAGTACTGTTTTTACTATATATATATTTTTTATAAAATAAATGCAGCCTTGGTGAGCATGAGAAACGTCTTTCAAAAATATTTTTGAATAATAAGCAAATAACTCCAATTTTGCAGTTTGATCTATGTAGATTTATCAATTATACTTTAAATGCAATGCATGCATTAAAAAAATCACACAGGTTGTGTGAAATATGTATTCACTTATGTTTATCCACTGGTCCAACATATAAAAAAGCCTTTGGCATCTTTCATGGTTTATTTCGCTTTGTTTTGGCATTTTTACTGAGATTTTTAAAACTCACATTATTACTTCATAACTGCAGTCAGATCTGTAAGTTTCCCAGGTGCACTTAAAACAGAATATAAAACAGACATTATTCAACAAATGGATACAATTTAGTTGCAACAAATAGTAAAACAATATGTTTTGGTTGACTGAAATGCTCCTGCAGTGTGTTGTCTGCAGTGGTTCTATGGATCTTTTTATGCTATATGACAACTTTTACTTCAGTAGGGCCATTTTCCCATAAGATCTTACTTTGGGCCTCACAAAACCCTGCGCATGGTTATTTAAGATCTTCACGAAAGGCCTCGCAGTGTTCCTTGGTTGTTTTCTATCAGAGCACTTTCGCTTTCCCCGGCCTCAGCATGACACTGAAGAAGTGCACCATCTCATTATCAATTGAAATGCCTGTGTGAATCACCGACGGATGATGAAGCACGGCCCCTGTGCTGTCGACAAGCCTGTAGAAATGCACTAAATGCTAATCTAGCATAGCGCTCTGCTTATAGGGAAAAAAGAAAAAGAGCAGCAGTAACAGTGCTGCAAATCACCTCCAGCAGAAGAGACACACACGCTGGCAATCAAAGCACTCCCTCTCACCTCTCCGCTGCGCAACGATCCTCTGAATCGCTCGGGGCTACAGAGCTCTACCCGGCACTTTTGACGAGAGAGAGTGAACATCTGGTTTTGTGCTCTGTTCAAATGAATCGAACTCAAATGTGGCACTGTCCAGGTCTACCCTGGTAGCAAAGTTTACCCACTGTGAGCTGGATATTGGATGGAAAAGTGTGAAACAGGATCATTTTTGGTTGTACAGTGTGTAAGGAAAAATCATAAATCATATTTTCACAAAGGCTGTTCACACAGGAAGCTTTTTAGCATTAAAAAACCTAGACGGTGCAAAACCAAAAAGCTGAACTATTAAAAGGGAAAAATGTAAATCTGATTCAACAGTTAAAAAACTCAAAAGAAAGAACACATCCTTAGAAAATGGTGCATTAATCTCTTAACTTAGACAATAAAGTATGACAGCTTTCTGTGTAATAGTCTGAACAGCAACAGCTTAGAAGAAAACAGCATTATGATTAAAACAATAAACATTTCAACTAACTATAAAATTGTTTATATGCTAGGTGCATATTATTGCAATATAAAAATATAAAATTATAAAATAACAAAACATTATATATAGTATTATATTATAAACAATTATAATATTTTAATTTTTTTCATATTTTCTAATACATACATAAATAAATAAATACATAAATAAATAAATAGTAAAAGAAAAGTCACAGTAACAGTCAAATAAGATAATTTGTGATAAGCAAAAACTACAGCTCAATTTTGGCTTGGTGCTTGATATATAGCACAGCTTAAAAAATAAATAAAACAAAATCCAGCCAAAAAGTGCTTCCTACAACAACATTAGCAAAAAAAAAAAAAAAACAACAACAGCAATGCCAAGGTAGCCTGTAAAGACAAAGGTGTTTCATAACAATGATGTCATTTACAATCTAATAGATAATTTATTAACGGAACCTACTGGTAAGAATCTATTTACCATTCTCAGTCCCATAACATAATTTCATAAAGTTAAAGGTAAATAAGATCATTTGTGATAATTACTACTTTTCTGGCTCCCTTCGAAGCACAAGACGTTCTGTGGAACATTCTCAAATTATGATGGATGACATGAGCATCAGTTTTTGTCTTAAAAGGGCAACGTTACATAACCAATACACTATCAAATACTTAATTTCACTATGGAAAAAAACCCTAACAAATAAACTGAAGGAATGTCTAGTGAGGATTGGCACATGGTAATGAGCCTCAGCGGTGTTCTTCAGGTAGACAGTTGCTCCCTGGAGTTTGTAAGCACCCAAAAAAAAATAAAAAAAAAAAAAAAAAAAAAACACCAACACCAGCAATGCCAAGGTAGCCTGTAAAGACAAAGGTGTTTCATCACAATGATGTCATTTACAATCTAATAGATAATTTATTAACCGAACCTACTGGTAAGAATCTATTTACCATTCTCAGCCCCATAACATAATTTCATAAAGTCAAAGGTAAATAAGATCATTTGTGATAATTACTACTTTTCTGGCTCCCTTCGAAGCAGAAGATGCTCTGTGGAACATTCTCAAATTATGATGGATGACATGAGGATCAGTTTTTGTCTTAAAAGGGCAATGCTACATAACCAATACACTATCAAATACTTAATTTCACTATGGAAAAAACCCTAACAAATATAGATTGGCACATGGTAATGAGCCTCAGCGGTGTTCTTCAGGTAGACAGTTGCTCCCTGGAGTTTGTAGGCACTAGGGGGCGTTATTGCTGTGTGCAGTTCGGGCCGTGAGGAGCGAGGGGCTTCACGCCGAGACAGATGGGGCAAGGCTTGGGCTTCAAACTGATTTAAAGGAAGCAATTGGAGCTGTGTGGACACTGACACACACACACACACACACACACACACACACACACACACACACACACACACACACACACACACAAACTATGCTGTTCTCTGCTGAATGTGCTCCACTGAAGGAGCTTCCGAAATAAGGCTTCTCTAGCCTTAATGCACATCTATTTTCAAATATATTTTGTGCCATTCATTGCTATGGCGCAAAGAGCGATCCTTTTATAATCATTCACTCATCTTAGTTCATCGGGATCCAACAAAGTTTCGTTATAATCAATAAAGCTCTCTACACTACACAACGAATCTCTCTTTTAACATATAATGAGATGATTTGCAAGTGTGCAGAAAACAGCGCAGGACAAAACTCCAGCTTTGCGAGCAGTGAGTGGATTCTAACATTAAAGCCTCTGATTGGCCATTGCGTTCAAGAAATCAACAGGTATGTCAGTGATTGGCTACATTGCTCACCACTGCAAAAAGACGTAAAGAGAAACTTTTGACTCTCCAGAGCGCAGACACAAAGAGGCACTGGATTGATTGCCAAATTTGTAATATTATTATTACAGCTTCAACTGAGGGTGCTCTTTCTTTCATTTGAACACCCCTGTAGAACAAGACCTGTCTCTGCTATTCACCAAATCATTTGCACGCTCATCGTTTTATTTTCTGCATTGGATCATGACCTCCCGAGTGTTCGAACTTGCATTGTGTACACCCGGCCTAATAAAACAGCAAAACGTAATTTTAATAGATTAAATACAGCAACACACTGCACTTACCATATTAAGTATTGCCAAAAATTGTAATGTTATAAACATTTCATACAATTATCATACAGCTTTATATTATACTGTATTGCATTTTTAATGACAATAAACATATATACATACAGTATATAT